GCATTCAGTTTTTCTTTATTTTTCTTTTTGTATCACTTCCCTTAAGTCAGTGAAACTGTTGGCACAGTCATTCCCACGCCTGCTCGGATACAGCAATGAGAGGGAATGGCAGAGCTAAGCAGATAAACTAAAAAAGCAGTGAAATAAAAGTCATCACTTCATAAGCAGGGTTTGGTTTGCTGTTTTTTATTCCTTGGGTAAGACTTTTCCTGACTGACATAAGCAGGATTAAACCAGAGCACTGATTTAACCTGCCCTGCCCAGAGCCTGCAGATCCTCGCTTGTGTGCTCGGGTTTGTGTGAGCAGAAATTGGGGTCTTGGCATGTGTGAGGTGAAAAATGTGTAAATCACAGCTCATCCTTCCAGGCAGGAATTGTCATTTCTTTCTATGTCTTTGCAAAACCGTAGGAACTCAGAACATCCCTCTGGCTGTCCAGAAGAGCCAGGAGGGCTCAGAAACCCTGGCACGGAGCCCAAAACACCTGTGGGTTTGATTATGACTCATGGAGCAAATTACCAACCTTATATGAAGATCAGCAGGCCACAACAGTTTAGGTAGAATAATAGTGAAGTTATCATGGGGTGGAAAAGTAGATTTTGGGGTTTTTTATAGAATGGGGGTTCAGGGGGCAAGATGGAGGAATCTGAGCATGTCCTGCCTTTCTCCTTCTTCTTCTTGGCCTCCATGTTCTGCTGTGATGGTGGCACTTTTGGATTGGTTTAGAGTAGAAGCTCACTGTCTAACACAGGTGATAGGTATTGGGAAGTAACTGTAAATGTTGTACACGTAGTTTTTAGTATAAAGACATAACACAGGGGGACACTCTGGGGACAGGCAGAGTGCCTGAACTGTCCTGCTGGATGGACCTCGGCAGGGCAGGAGAAAGAATTTTATAGATAAGATACAATAAACAACCTTGAGGCTGAGAAATGAAGAGCCCTGAGTCTTTCTTCAAGCATCGAGCTAAGAAAAGAGACTTTTAACATTCTCAGGGTCACTCTGACCAGCTAGAGATCCCGAGACAAAATATGTAAAACTGGGCCTGGAGCCAAGGCTGCCCAAATCATTATTAATCCTGACCTAGGTTACAAACAGGTATCAAGTCCATTTCCTTCACTCCTATCCTTCTCTCCTCCTTCCTTGCTCTCCCTCTTGTGCTCACAAATCCATACTGCACATCCTCTCTCCTGCCTGCAGCCAGCATCACTACAATGAGCCCACCTTATTTACTTATTTGTTTAATAGGAATTCAGACCTTACCAGGATATTCAGCAGCCTCCCAGTCCAATGGATTTATTTTCACTGGATGAAGGAAAGAGAGGAGAGTTTGGGTACCAGAAGGCATCACCATCAGCATGGATATGGGGTATTGGACTTTTGTAGCTGCTTTATTTCTGAGCAGGGAGGATTTCTGTGATGCCATCTGAAGGGGAAGGAGCTGGGGCAGGTGGAGGGATGGAGCTGTTTGCAGACATGCAGTGCTCAGGGCGTTTTCAGCAGAGAGAGCTGAGGATCCATGACAAATCCAGAGAGGTAAAACACTGGCTCTGCTTGCCTGGAGAAGCTGTGGCTGCCCCATTGCTGGAAGAATCCAAGGCTAGGGTGGGCTTGGAGCAACCTGGTCTAAAGGAAGGTGTCCCTGCCCATGGCACTGGATGCTCTTTAAAAGCTCTTTCAACTCAATCTATTCTGTGAATGCAGAGAAATAAACTCTGAATTGTCAGGTGGGACCACAGAGCCCAAACAACAAAGGCACCACTTGAAATGTCTGTGTTGCTCTCCTCTTCCTTGCAGCCTTCTGGATGTCTGTGGCAGCTCCTCTGCCACCACACACCTGCCCATATCCTGTGGCATCACAAAACCCTGTGGCAGGCACAAAAATGCAGATGCTGCCACTTCCATGCCCTGAGCATTGGCAAGTGTGCCCACAACCCCCTGGAGCTGGAAATGCTCTGCACATGAGCCAAGGACTGTTGTTAACAAGATTAGATATCAGCATTTTTCACACAGAGGGTGGTCAGGCACTGAACAGGCTCCCCAGGGCAGCAGTCACACCATGCCTGACAGACTTCAGCAGCATTTGGACAACAGCCTCAGGCACGTGGTGTGTCCTGCACAGGGCCAGGAGTTGGATTTGATGGTGCCTTGCCATGGGCAACGCCACGGGTGACTCTCACAAATATCATGGATACATGTTAAGAAAAGTTTTATAGATGTATAGTTATTGTTTTATAGATTTATAGTCATGTTTGATCACAATCAGAAGGCAAATATCATGGATATATGTTTAGAGAAGTTTTATACATTTGTAGTTATTGTTTTATAGATTTATGTTTGATCACAATTAAAAGGCAAATATCATGTATAGATGTTAGGAGGAGTTTTATAGATGTATAATTATTGTTTTATAGATTTATAGTTATGTTTTATCACAATTAAAAGGCAAATATCATGTAGAGATGTTAGGAGAAGTTTTATAGATGTATAATTATTGTTTTATAGATTTACAGTTATGTTTGATCCCAATTCAAAGGTAAATATTATGCATATATGTTGAGACGTTTTAGAGATCTATAGTTATTGTTTTATAGATTTATAGTTGTGTTTTATCACAATTAAAGGGCAAATATCATGTATATATGTTAAGAAAAGTTTTATAGATTTATAGTTATGTTTTGTCACTATTAAAAGGCAAATATCATGGATATATGTTAAGAGAAGTTTTATAGATTTATGGCTGTTTTACCCCCCTTGTGTTGTTATTGGGGGTGCCCTGGGTTTGGGACATTTGGGAGGGTCAGATTGTCACTATGGAACACCTGAGCTCCAGTCAGGATTTAAGGAATGATCTCCATCACTGGACAGGGAAGGAGGAGCTGATGGACAGAACTTTGGGAGGGTTTGAAGGGTTAAAAGGTGGAACCTCCATTGTGTGGGTGAGCACATGGTGGGGGAAATCCTCTGCTCCTGGTGCCATAACATTTTCTCTATTCACTCTTCTGTTGTATTTTTTATCAGGTTTAATAAACCTTTTGCATTTTTGGAAGTGAGCAGCATCTCTCACAGCCCAGATCAGCCCCCTCTGCTTGCAAGGTGCTCCCATGGCTGGGCAGGTTTGCAGCCACCGATGAAGGGACTGGATCAATACACAATCTGTCTCTCCTTTGTGCCTGGGAATCCTTCCAAAACCATTCAGTGCTGGGCCAGGCCCCAAGGAGGATGCTGCAGCTGGGGTTCATGACCCTGGCAGATGCCTGCTCCTCTGGGGCCACCCTGCCTGTCCCAAAACCCCACAGGGGCATTCCCAGCCCTTGGGAAGGGCACAGCAGGGCTGGGATGCCAGCACAGGGGTATCACTTTACCATCCTGAGGCAGCACAGCCACCTGTGCAGACCCTGCAGCTCCAAACCGGGATAATCTTCACCCTCAGTGTGATCCCAGCCCCAAGCCCTTGAGAGGAACAGCAGATTTGTCTTTCCAAACCAGCTGTGGCTCTGCTGATGGATAATACCAGCACTGGGAGATAAAAGAAACCGTGGGAAGGATTCCACTGATTGGTGAGTGGAAAAGGATATTTGCTTTTACAAATATCTTTGATAAATGAAATTGGACATTGAAAGATGAAAGAAGGAATGGGGAAGAAAAACCCCTAAATTCCATAAGAATTTAAAATTAAAAGGGAGGGTTGTACATTAGCGGGGAATCTCTGGTATCAGGTGTTTTGGGAAGTCTGAACCTCTCAAGTACCTCAGAAATGGGGAAAGAGAGAAAGGAAATGCAGCTGCCAATATCACTGGAGATGTTCTACCATTAAAATGATCATTACTGACCTACTGAACAAAACCCACCCTTGCCTCAAGCCTGGCTGGGGCACCAACCTTCCCTTCATGATGCTGCTGCTGGAATGGCAGAACTCCACAAATCCCTTAAACAGGGGGTTTTAACCCCTTAACTCCACCAAACCCCTTAGAGAGGAGGTTTTAGCCCCTTATTTCCACCAAACCCCTTAAACTGGAGGTTCCAAAGGGCTCACCCAAGAGTTTCAACACCTTAACTCCACCAGAACCCTTAAGCAGGAGGTTTTAACCCCTTAACTCCACCAAACCCCTCAAACTGGGGGTTTTAATCCCTTAATTCCACCAAACCCCTAAACATGAGGTTTTAACCCCTTATTTCCACCAAACCCCTTAAACTGGGGGTTTTAACCCTTTAACTCCACCAAACCCCTTAAACAGGAGATTCCAAAGGATTCCCCCATGAGTGATCAGCTGCACGGCACCATCCAGAAAGAAAAACCACCTGGCACATCTCTAGAGGGATTAGATCCCAAAAGAAGGTGATTTCCTGATGCTGAGGGTCTGTCTGGTTTGTGCAGAAGCTCGAGGGGCCACTGGTGGCCAGCTCTGTCCCACTGCTGGCCATGAGCTGTGCTCAGTGAATCCCTGGCCATGATTCTCATGCAAATGGGCCAGGCTGCAAGAACAGATGTGAAACGTTTGTTTCTGTTCTTGCTGGCTTGTAAAGAAATAATGCAACTGGAATGGGGTTAAAAAGGGGGCCAAGCAGGGTGTGGGGGAGAAAGTTTATAACAATGGCTTCTCCCTCGGTGGCCCAAAGTGGTGGAGTTTATGTCAGGCTGTGCCAAATTCCTATCTCTGAGTGAATTGGACCAGCCCAGTCAGGCTTTGAGGTAGGGGCAATACACAAATATTATAAATATAGGGAAGTGTGGAAGCTGTGTCACGTCCAGTGCGGAGCCATCAATCATCCCCTTCCCGTCCTCAGTTTATAAAGTGGTTTTTGATGGTGCTTAGGCAGTTTACAGCAGCTGTGTGGACAGGCTGGAAAAGCTGACTGCATGCTCCAAGTATTCCGTGTCTGCTCTTGGGGAGCAGCAGTGATGAGGTGCCCTGGCAGGTTTTGTTGATATTAGCAGTCAGAAAGAAGTAAAATCCGTTGAAGCAAAGAGACAGGCAGCTGGAAAGCACAGCTGACCTGATGGCACCTCCCTGTCCACTGCATTGCTCAGGGCAGGGCTTGGGGAAACCAGGATGAGGGGAAAAAAACCCAGAGGTGTGGTGGTGTTCACAGGGGTCCCAGGATGAGGGAAGAGATGAGAATGTTGACTCCATGTTTCAGAATATATATATATGTGTATAAAAAAAAATATGTATAACAAATGTTTCAGAATATATATATTATATATATTATATCTATACATTAATATACTATAATATATAATATATTATAATACAATAATATATACATTATATATATTTATTATATTTAATATCTATCTATATAATATATATTTATTTATATTTTATTATATATAGTAATATATATTTATAATATTTATATTATATATAATATATTATAATATATTATAATATATTATAATAATATAAAATCGTTATCAAATATTATAAATCATAAATTTATTATTTATATATATATGTTATTAAAACTATACTAAAAATAGAAGAAAGAAATTCATCAGAAGGCTTGAAAGAAAAGGAAAGGAATGGATGATAATAAAATCTTGTGACTGACCAGAGAGTCTGAGACAGCCAGACTGTGATTGGCCATTAATTAGAAACAACCAACATGGACCAATCAAAGATGCACCTGTTGCATTCTACAACAGCACATAATTATTGTTTTTCTTTTCCTCTGAGGTTTCTCAGGAGAAAAATCCTGGCAAAGGGATTTTTCAGAAAATATCATGGCTACACAGAGGGACACAGTGTGTGGTGATCTCCATCCTCTCTGGGATGTTCTTCATCATGGAGCTGTAATCACTGAGCTGCCCACTCAGATATAGATGTGTTTTAAATGAGTGTAAGGCTCCTTTTTCTGTGAATATCCATTCAGAGAAAGCCTTGAAGAAGCAGAGCCCTCAGTGAGAACCTTGCCTGGCGTGCTCAGAGCTCACACAGTGCAACCACATGGGTGTCCCCCACAGCAAAACACACACCCACACCCCTGCCTGTGCTCTGAGTGCTTTGGAACACAAATATTTACACAGAGAGAGGAGAATCCCTTGGCAGCACACTCCCATCCTGATCTGCCCTTTTCCCTTCTGTGTCCAACCTGCTGGGAAGGGTTTTACACCCAGACCATTGGTGCATCCCTGGCTGGTTTTTCCAGCATTTTGGAGGCCTGGTTCATTCCTCAGTGCTCTCCAAGCATGGCCTGATACCCAATTAAGTCCATTTAAAGACTGCTCTTAACTTCAGAGCTGCTTGGTTGAGGCTTCACAGGGAGACAAAGCATTTTATGGAGGAACAAAGTGAAGCTGGGAGTGAGCAACTCTCACCCCATGTAGGGCACACCTTTCCAGTTGTTGGGGTCATTTTTTCCAGCTGTAATGTCCATCCTGGACTGGTATATATATATATTCATCCAAGCCAACCCCAGTCCACAAAAGACACCACTTTCCCCACAATCACATTTTTAACAGAACCAAAACATTTTATCAGCAGTTAGTAGCCAGCCTTCCCTGTGTGTTTAATGAAGAACCATAAATGCAGATTTAGGGTTTAATTTTCATTGTATTGTTTTCATTGCCTGATTTTTTGGTTTTTTGGTTTGTTTTTTTTTTTTTTTTCTTTTTAATGGAGAATAATATTAAAAAGCACAAAAGGCCTGGAAGGTCTTTATTGTTGTTCCACTCACAAGTGTATCAAAGCCAGCACAAGGCAGCACGCAGAGCACAAATAAAACGAGGCACAAACAAAGGTAATAAAAGAGACAAGTATCTGTTTCCAGAGCACTGGAAGAGCAGCAGGAGTGTAACTACTTCATGTTCCAGCTAATATAGCTGTCTGCAGTGATCCTCAGGAAGCTCCACCAGGCAGCACTTTATAGGTTCCCCTTGGAGAGCTCCTGTAAATATTTGCCTGCAGGGGCCGAGGGCTGTTGGGAACATCCCAGGCTGCCAGCCCCACAACAACCCCACAGACTGGGGTGTCCAGAGCACCCCCAGAACCCTGTGGGTGTGGATTCAGACCAGGATATTCAGCAGCTTCCCAGCCTGATGGATTTATTTTCACTGGATGAAAGAAAGAGAGGAGAGTTTGGGTACCAAAAGGCCACTCCAAGCATCACTCTCAGCATGGGTATGGAGGACGTGACTCTTGCAGCTGCTTTATTTCTGAGCAGGGAGGATTTCTTGAAGGAAAAGGAGCTGGGGCGGGTGGAGGCGATGGAGCTGTTTGCAGCCGTGCATGCTCAGGGGGTTTCCAGCACAGAGAGCTCAGGTCCCATGGGGGCTGCAGACCCATCACCCTCATCCTCCTCTCTCCAAATGCCCAAACTGCCCTATGGCAAACCCAGAGGGGTAAAACACCAGCACCAGGGCAGCACAGGCCATCTCAGGATGTGCTGGGTTATTCCAGGAGTGGTTTTCCAGGATGGGAGCTGCTGATGCATGAGCACTGGGGTGTCAGAGGTTGTTTCAGGTGTGAGGCTCCCCTGCCTGTGGCTTTGTGCTCAGCACAGTGTCCCCACCTCTGTGCCTGGCCTGGCTCTGCATTGTTTCCCACAGCCTGGTGTCACATTCACATTTTCTGAAAAAATCCCTTTGTCCAGGATTTCTCTCCTGGGAAGCTGAGAAGCCTCAGAGAGAAAGGAAAACAATTCTTATCTCATTTGCTTCTCCTGTGTTGTGCTCATGTGGAACGTGTTTGGTGATTGCTTACCCATAGGTGATTGTTTCATTGGATTCTGGTGTGAGTTGTTTTCACTCTTTGGCCAGTCAGAGAAGTAAAGAAAGTGGTAAAGAGAAAATGAGAGAGTGAGGAAGACTAAAGAGGGTAAGAGAGCAAGGTTCCCGTTACAATACAATAAATCTTTTTCTGTGTCGAATATTCTGATTCTCACTAACCAATCTAGTACAAGATACAAATCCTACAGCATTTCCATACAGCCTATAAGAATCATTACATTACTATACTGTGTTACATTTTAAACCCTAAAAACTCCTCTTTGGACTCCTTCTGCCAAGCTGCAGGGTCTGCTCTGACCCTTGGAGCTGCCTGCAAGCAGAGGGTGTTGTTCCATCAAAAGGGGATCACCTTCAGCTGGCCACACCATTGTTTTCCAGTTGTTCAGTAACTGAGGGATCTCAAAGCTTGCTTTCATTTCAACCTCACTTATAGTTTCCACATTCTCCAAATCTTTTGCCAGGCAATCATATTTATAAGGCTTTTTATATTTAATATTTATAATCATATATATAATCATATATATATATATATATATATATATATAAAAAGCTCAGGCAAGAGGGGAGAACCTGGTCCTGCTGTGCCCAGGGCTCCATAGCCCTCTCCAGCCTTTGGGAAACACTGCTGCTGGCATGGCAGGCTGAGCCATCAGCCAGGCTCTGCCCTCCTGCATGGCACAGGCATCCCCTGAGCAGGATGGGCACTTTGGGAAGGGCAGGGACATGGCACAGGCATCCCCTGAGCAGGATGGCACTTTGGGAAGGGCAGGACCCCATTCACAGCAGCCAGGCACCGTGGAGCTCCTGCCATGGCTCAATTCAGCCTCCTCCTCTTTCTGGCTCTTATTAATTCATGCTCCTGCTCTGAGGCCTCCCAGATGTCCCCATGCCTTGTGCCAGCTCTCTAATCAAGTTGGCCCCATCCCAGCTGGGCAGGAGCTATCAGGACAAGGTACATTCACTCTGTGCCATGGCCAGGCAGCAGGGACAGGGATCTGTGGTCTCCAGCCCCAGCCAAAGCAGGATTCAGATTTCACTGGCTTTCTGCTCTCAGCTCTGCTTGCTTTTGGGCACAGGCAGTGCAAATTAGACAGCAGACCAAGTCATCCTGTCAGGTTAGGAGAGTGCAGAGTGAAAACAGTCTCTCAAAACTTTTCATTTTTCCTTCTTTCCCTGGTCTACATGACATTTCCTGTGAGTACTTTTGTCCTTCCAAAAGAAAAAAAAATATTAAAAACCAAAGCCAAATCTCATCCCTACATTTTTAGTGTCTCTGGCTCAGTATTTCAAGACATCTTTTCAACAAAACTACCAGGTCTGGAGTTGATGATCAGGTCTCCATCACCTGTCCCATCTGCCTGGACTCTGTGGATGCTCCCTGGGGATGCAGCTCCTGTTCCCAGTGTCCTCATGGCCTTGCTGCTGCCCTGAAAACCCTGGGACATGGCAGGGCACAGCAGCTCCTCCCTGGGCTGGGGACATGGCAGGGCACAGCAGCTCCTCCCTGGGCTGGGGACATGGCAGGGCACAGCATCTGCTCCTCCAGGGCTGGGACATGGCAGGGCACAGCAGCAGCTCCTCCCTGGCCTCAGCCTGCCCCAGGCTCTCCCTGCACACCTCAGTGGCTCTCCAGAACAATGCCTGTTCCTACAATCTGAAAGCTAAAAGCCCTTGAACTTTCTGTCTGATTTCAAGGGGGGGAAAGCCCAGGAGATTATTGGGATCAATGGAGGATTTGGGTAGAACAGGAGCTGTCATTGCCTCCTCCCTCTGCCCTGGCTCTCAGATCCTTGCCCACTGCTGGCCTGTCCCCATTAGCCATTGTTCCTATTCATTTTAGATGAAGGGGCTTTTGTCGTGGGAGCCGATGTGGGGTCACATCACCCCCTGGTTATCAATCTGCTTCCCTCTGCTCTGTCCCATACTCCATCTCCCCAGCACAAAGGGATGTTTTCTTCAGCAGCAGCTTCCTGACAGGCAGGGCTTCCCTTTCCCTTCAGACCTTATAATCACTTGTTAAGTTCCTCTAGCCCCGGGCTCCGGGCCCTTTTCCACCACAGTCCCAGTTTAACCCCTGATCCCATCTGTGCCACGGGTCACTGGGAAAGGGGAAAAAATACAGCAATCCCAGTGGGGCTGGCACGGGCTGCTCAGAGCCTCCGAGGTGTGAGCCTTCCCCTTCCCCAGCTGTGTGGAAGCACCTGGAAACATCAGATGGTGGAAGCAAAGCCTTCAGCTCTGCTTTGCCAAGGGGACAGAAGACTGACAGAGGTTTCTCCTGATGAGCAGGTGTGTTTCTTCAGTGAAGAGCATCCCAAATCAGCCCGTTTGGAGAGGGAAGCCTTGCTGCTGGAAGGAGGATTTTGGCACCAGGCAATGCCAGGAGAGGAGCCCCACTCACCCTCTCAACACCCCAAAATGAGTGGAGCAGGATGGAGGGGGAGGCAGGAGTGCAGCAAGCACTGTAATAAATAATAAATAATAAAACTACAGATAAAAGTTAAAAATAATAATAATTAAACTGTAAATAGATAAAAGGAGAAAGGAACAGGGAGCAAGTGCAAACAGGAGCACAGAGGAGAGGGAGCCTGCCATGCCAGCAGCATCCCATGCCAGCAGCAGGGTTGGTGCCAGGGAGTTGTGAGTCACAGCCACGGGCACAGCCACACTCCCCTCCACCCTGTCCCACTCTGGGGACATGAGCAGTGCCCATGGGGCCAGCACAGGCTGCAGAGCTGCCCTGGGATCCCCCCCATGCTGGGTCTGTGATGGGTGCAATGAACAGCGCTGAGATGGGCAGACAGAAATTTAAGGGGCAAAGAAAGAGCCTGTTCTGAAAATGTTAACTCAGTTGTGCAAGGGACTGAGTAAAATGAAAAGCAACTTTTGCTGCAAGCTCTGAGTTGTTAAAAAACCCCTGAAGTTATCCCTGAGAAGGGTTATTTTTGCAGCAGGGCTAAAATAGATAAGAGGAGTAAGTTCTCAGCGCTCGATGTCATGATCTCAGCCACATAATTTCTCTGGCTTTATAGTACACTGTTCATCAAATGCTCTCTGTAGCAAGAAAAACTCATCCAGAAATAAGGTCCAGAGCAGTCTGCTGCTAGTAAAGAATCTCAGATTTGCAGCTGTACTAACAGAGCCCACAGCAATACGGGCGGAACCATTTCCCTGTATTGCCCTTTCTAAAGCATTAAGACACCTTCCCTCTTGGAGAGCTGCTCCTGGCTGCAGAATTACTGGTGCCTTCAGCCCCAGGAGGCAGAAACCATGAGTCAGGGGCTGTAAAAATATCACAAGTTTGCCTCAAATATCGTAGGGCTCTTTTAAATATAGATATATTTAGCTTATTGCTTTCTAGACACTGAAACTTTTTATACAGGCTCTGGTCATATTTTCCCCAGTCAGCCAGTGACTCTTTAAAGGAAAGCTCAGATTCACACAAATATGTCCAGGAAAAATGCTGCAAACATAAGTCTTGCAATGCAGTCTCAGCAGATACATGCTCTAAGCTCTTTCACACCAATTTCCCTTATCTTTTCTGTTTTTCTCCATTTGAAACAACCATTTTTTTCAAACAGAAAGTGTAGCACTCTTCTAAGTGTCTAGGAAAAAAGTATCATAATGAGAATAATAAGTGAAACCACTTTTTCCCTTCTGCAGGGCCCAGTCCAAGGCCCATTGATGTCAGCAAAGTCTTTTCATTGACTTCAATGAGCTGGATCAGAGCACAGATTTATAAAGGCGTTTAGGTTCCTAATGATGGAAGTAGTTGCCTAGAGGTGTTGGTGGCCTAACCTGCTTACAGCATTTTGTAAATCTACTTATATATTGGAGCATTGAAATACCTGAAATGCTACAGTATCTTACAACAAAATCTAGTAGAGTAATTCGCTGCAAATAGCATTTGTTATTAATTTTGCTCTGTTTACTATTTGGAAACACATTTTTATTAGCCAGCCAGCTCTGCAGATGGCTGATTATAATTCAATGCACTATTTTCTCCCCTCTTTTCATTACATAATTTGTGGATACACCAGCTTTATTTCCAAGTAGTTGAAGTTTAAGTCCTCAGCTAGGTCCACACCAAACAGAAGGAAAAAAAAAAGGATCTAAGTCAAGTGTTTCATGTGCGAGTTTGTTTGAAAATTCTATAATCTATGACAAACATTTCAAATTAAGAGGGCATTCCCACAGGCAATGAAATAACGAAGCCCTTAGAATCAGGCAGCCTTGCCACGGAGCTGAGAGCTATTTCCACATTTTATGTACTCTCAGAGGAGAAGAGCAAATTCCAACAGCAATATCGTGTTGCTTTTGTAGATATTTCTTACCGACCGTGGGCCAGATTCTGCAGCCAGCCCAGGGGCAGCTTGTGCAAATTAGGGGGGAAAAGTCTGATTTTGGGTGTTTCTGTGCTGTGTTCCGTACGGAGCTCGGTGGAACTGTTGGTTGTGATACCGTGAGTGTGTTTTACACCCACCAGAGCTTTAGAGGGGCTGCTCTTCCGTGCAAAGGTATTTGTGTGTGTCAGGGTGGATTATTGGGCACATCAGGAATTTGTTCTCGGGTCCGGAGGGATCCGAGGGGGTCAGTTAAAAACCTGAGTGGCCGGACAGGCAGGTGGACATGGTGGTCAGCCAAACACCGGGGTCTCATTGCACCACACAGGTGCTGGACAGAAAAGTCCTGCGGGGTTCGGCTGCCGAAAGAGGCAGCCCGTGGGCAGCAGGATGTCCCTGTCAGCACCGAGAGGAAAACTAGCAAAGAGTTCCCAGCTCTCCTCCCTGCCCCCGGGATGGACTCAGGGCATCCCTGCTCCCTCCACAACAGATTCTGGGGCATCTCCGCGCCTCCCGGCACAGCCTTCGGGGCATCCCTGCATCAGAGTACCTCTGAACAGCCTCCCGGCCACTCAGGGCATCCCTGCACCATCCGTGAGAGCCTCTGGACACCTCAGCACCTCCCGGCACAGCCTCCGGGGCATCCCTGCATCCGAATAGCTCCGGAACAGCCTCCCGGCCACCCACGCATCCCCCGGCACGGCCTCCCGAGGTGTTCCCGCATCCCCCGGAGCATCCCCCGGAGCATCCCCCGGCACGGCCTCCCGGACCCCCCCGCTCCCCCCTAAAGGGCTCAGCCGCGGTTTCCCGACGGGTCCGCCCGCTCCGGGCTTAGCTTGGCCCCCCGCCCCCGCCGCGCCATTGGCCCCGCCGCCGGCCGCGCTCCGCCCCGCTGCCGGTGATGCCTCGGCCGAAGTTTTCCGCGGCGGGCTCCGCACGTGGGAGCCCCGCGTCGAGCCCTGCTCCCGCATCCTCGCCGAGCCCCCCGCAGCCAGCCGCGCTGTCCCCCGCGGGGGATGCCGCCCTGAGCGCGCCGGGGATGCAGCGGCGGCAGCGCGGAGCCGCCCGGCCCCGCGGAGCGCAGCGCGGAGGGGCCGCGCCGGGCGGCGGCCGCGGAGCAGGAGCATGGCCCGGGCTCCCCGCAGCCCTCTCGGGGTAGCATGGCCGTGAGCGCGGCGGCCGCCCCCGCCGCCGAGCCGCTGCCCCGCAGCATCTTCAAGAAGTTCCTGGTGATGCTCTGCTCGCTCCTCATGTCCCTCTACGTCTTCTACTGCCTGGCCGACCGCTGCCAGACGCTGCCCGGACCCATCATCGCCGCCGGTGCCGCCGCATCGGAGGAGGACGAGGGCGGCGGCGGGGAGTTCCTGGGCGGCTCGGCCGAGCTGCCCCCCTGGCAGGCGGCGGCGGCGCGGCGCAAGCGGCTCCTGCAGCGCCTGAAGCAGCGGCGGCGGCGGCAGGAGGCGGCTCCGGGCGCCGAGGAGCCGGCCGGGGGCGGCGGGAGCCGGGCCGGGGGCTCGGGCGGCGGGGCGGGCACGGCCGGCACCCTGGCGCTGCTGCTGGGCGAGGGCAGCAAGCGGCTGCCGCAGGCCATCATCATCGGAGTGAAGAAGGGCGGGACGCGGGCGCTGCTGGAGTTCCTGCGGGTGCACCCCGACGTGCGCGCCGTGGGCGCCGAGCCGCACTTCTTCGACCGCAACTACGAGCGGGGACTCGCCTGGTACAGGTACGGCACGGGCGGCGGGACGGGGACGGGGATGGGGATCGGGATAGGGACGGGGATGGGGATGGGGATTGGGATCGGAGCGTGGATAGGGACGGGGATGGGGATGCAGCCGTGGCCGAGCCGCCAGTGCCCCCCGCTGGCCGCCGCTCCTCGCTCCCGAGCCGCCGCCGAGCCTTTCTCAGCCCCGCGTTCGTTCCTCGCTCATGGAGCTCTCTTCCCCGCAGTCTCTCGCTCCACCCGTTCTTCCGTCCCTGCTCTCAAATCCTCCAGCCCTCCTCTCCCGGCTGTCCCCAGGACCCTCCTGTCCCTGCATCCCTCTCCCGGGCTGTGTCCATTCCTCAGTGCCCGCATCCCCCTCCCGGCTGTCCCCATTCCGGAGTGCCCCAGGACCACCAGCGCTCCCGGGGTCCCTCCGGCGCTCCCCGCTGCAGCCCGGCTGTTGCCTACTCCCAAATCCTCCAGCCCTCCTGTCCCCGTATCCTTCTGCCGGCTGTCCCCATTCCCGAGTGCCCCAGGACCCTCCTGTCCCCGCATCCCCCTCCGGGTTGTCCCCATTTCGGAGTGCCCCAGGACCCTCCTGTCCCCCGGCGCTCCCTTCTCCAAAGGGAGAAGCGCTGGGTGCCCCTCTGGCCTGGGGACTGCACGGGGGTGCTGAGGCACAGCTAAACCCTGCCGTGAAAAGCACAGCCCCTCAATATCTTTATGCTCCCCCAGCTCTTTGCCAAACCTGTGGCTGACCGGTGAGTCTCAGCCGAGCCCCGGCTGCCTCCCCATCGCCTCCCGCCGCTCCCAGCCCGGCGCTGCAGAAGCCGCTTTTCCTGCAGTCAGTGTGGACTACTTTTCCTGTAGTCAGTGTGGACAAAACCCCCTTATTTCCCACGTAAATGTTTCGGCATCCCAGTAGCGACTAACCAAAAATGTCACTTTCAGGAGCACACGCTGCATGCTCACCTCGCCTTTGAAATACCAGCAAAGGGTTGATCCGGTGTTTCTTTCAATGAATTAGTGTTTTGTTAAACAAGCCAGTCAATGTTAAAGCTAAGAGGGTTCTCGCTGAAGTTGTTCAGGTCTTCTTTGGTTGTGTGTTTTAAAGTTAGCAGAGGAGCGTTTTTCCGGCAGCTTGGTTAGGGTGAGAGTGAAACTGCTGTCTCCAGAAGTGTGTCCTGTGTTTGTGCTTTCTTGAATGAACAAGCAAACAGGAGAGGATTTGGGTACCCCTGGAGTTTGTTTTACTTTCACATAAAGCCTGGCTATTAGCAGAGAGAAGAGGATTTTGGCTCGGCTTGTGGTGACAGCATTGAAATGTGGAGTAGGGTAGTACTGGCAGTCCAAGTGTTGATGTAAAAGTCTTAACACGTGGAAGGGATGAGCTTCCTTGTGTATCTGCCAGTGTCAGAAACACTCTGGGTTCCTGCAGCCTGAAAAGTGTGACTTCTCTTGAGAAGGAAGATTCCTTTTGTGTGGGCTGAAGCTGTCTGCAAAATTATATTTTTAGTCCGTGCTTATCCGATTTCCACATGCTGACCCTGTGGCAGAAAGGAAACGTTAAAAATGAATCTGAAAAACCTCAAGAACTCTAATCAAGCCTTGACTTTGAAAAATAAACACATGGCTGTGGGGTGGCATCTACTGAAATTTATGGTGGATATGCAGAAAAGCTCATTTGTCAAAGATGCTGTGGAAGCTTTGAGGAGCAGATGGCAGTGGGACAGACAGACCTGCTTGTGGAGCAGTCCTGAGCGAGGAGTGCAGACCTAGACAGAGGAGGAGCCACAGGCATTTAGGGCAGGGGATATAATTTTCCAGAGGTTTGGTCTTGATCTTGCAGCTCTTTTTGCCTGGCTGTGCTGCCCCGTGTGCTGTTTGTGTAATCATTATGTTTTAGCAGTTGGCACATGAGCTCTCCCATTAATTGCTGCAGTTTGTTTGTTCTGGTATTTGATGTGCTGAGTTCAGTTTCATCTTTTTTTTTTTTTCTTTCCTTTTTGTTTTTGTTGTTTTATTAGCCCTGTGGAGGCTGAGGTACAGTGAATTCTTTGTGTGGGATTATTCCTTTGAGACCTAATCTTGCTGGCTTTGCTTGTGTGAGTAATCTTTGCTAACACAGGATGGCAGAGCCGTGGTGCCAGCACTGTGGTCACCACTCACAAATACTCATTTACAAACCTACCTGTCTGTCTGCAGGCTTTGTTGTGATCTTTGATGAGGGTTCAGGGCTGGGGAAACGGCCAGATGTTTGCCAGAGGTCCCCATTCCTTATCTTTGCCATCAGAGGCTTAGGTTTCATGTGTGCTGCTGTTTCCCAGCAGTCAGACTAAACAGGTTTAGGGTCATTACAAGGTATAAACACTTGGGTTTGTTTTCAGTGCCCCAGGAAGCCAGCACAGGCTGCCAGCACCCAGGGAACAAAAAGCTGGTGGCTGATGCACAGATTGAAGGGGCAGCCAGCCTGTGGAGCTGTCACAGGGACAGGGTGGCTGTGGGGTTTTGGCCATGAGGAAAGCCCTGATTTTCCCTGGAAATAAAAGAGCTGCTCCCTTAGCAGGGGGAAGGGCTGGGCTGTGCCTGCAGCAGTGGTGATGCTCCTGGAGCAGCCAGCCAGGTGTGCCTGTGGGGTTTGTGAGGTGTTCACAGGGGGCTTATGTTGAGGGAAGAGACGAGGATCTGACTCCATGTTTCAGAAGGCTTGATTTATTATTTTATGATATATATTACATTAAAACTATACTAAAAGAATAAGAGGAAAGGTTTCATCAGAAGGCTAGCTAAGAATAGAAAAGAATGATAACAAAGGCAGCATCTCTCAGACTCTGTCCAAGCCAGCTGGGCTGTGATTGGCCATTAATTATAAACATCCAACATGGGCCAATCCCAGATGCACCTGTTGCATTCCACAGCAGCAGATAATCAATGTTTACATTTTGTTCCTGAGGCCTCTCAGCTTCTCAGGAGTTAAAAATCCTAAGGAAAGGATTTTTCATAAAAGTTGTCTGCGACAAGGCTTGGTGACGTGCAGGTCACCTGCTGGGGTGCATGGAAACATCCTCCAGGGAATAAAAGGAGTAACAGTGCAGCCCCTGGTCCCCTGGAGAAGCTGACTTTGTGAAATCCATCCGTGGGATTTCATTTGGTGAGTGTGACGCCTCCGTGTGTGGGTTGAACATCAAGGGCAGTTGTGTGCCCCAAGGAGCTTTTTCTGCTTTGGGTTTGAGTCCCCTCGTGCAGCGGGGACAAAAGGAGGGAGGGGACAGCCCACAATGCTGGCATTGACTTCAGTGCTGAGCTGGCTGCTGCAGCCCTGAACAAGGCTATTGAGCCAGCAGGGTTCAATAGCAGGTGAGCAAAGGCTTTAATAGAGTTCAGCTGCCAACCCCCAGCCCAAAACGGCTGCACAGCCTGGGGAAAACTCCCAGGAACAGGGGCTGAGCCAGGCATGGAAAAAAAAACCCCTGGATTAAAGGGAAATATCTGTGTTTGCGGCTGATACTGCGAATGTGGCTCTTTCCCTCTGATCTTTTGTTAGTCTGCACTGATTGAGCTGCCTGTTGGAATGCCATTATACTGTCACTCAGCCCAGGAACATCTATTTCAGATGTTTTAATCTCCCTGCCTCTGTAGCACCAATGCCACTTTGACTAGAGTGAAGCTGAGTTAATGTCATTAGATTCCATCTGATGCAGGGGAAGATGAAAGATAATTCAGAGTTACTCCGTCAGGTTGGGAGTTTAAATATCTCTGCTCCTCAGTGCTTCCAGAGCTGGGGAGTTCTGACTCCTAATTAATGTCCTCTTGGGATTTATTTCCAGGTGTTTTTTGTGGGTTTTTTTTTGCTTCTTTGTAATCTAGGCAATGACATTTCTGAGTCAGAGGGAACAGAGAACACCTCAGATGCTGAAGGGGTCTGAGATGGAGGAAAAGGGGGGGATTTTGGGGATCCAGCTGTGAGCAGCTGGATCCCAACTCAAGCTGTGTCCCATCCTCTGTTGCCTCAAACCAGGGTGAAATCAGAGCCTGATGGGGATGGAGGAGTCAGAGACTCCGTATCCCTGATGGGGATGGAGTCAGGCTGCTCCTGGGGCAGGGGTTTGAGGTCTATGTGATCCAGCAGAGCATTCTGTGAGTGAATAATTGTGGGAGGGAGGAGAGGAGTGTGTGGATGATGTTGGAGGGACATCAGGGCAGTAAATACAATTTATGGAAGGTGGAGCAGGACCAGGTGGCCTTCAGGAGGAAAACCCTTGTTGCAAACGCCCCTGTGTGAGTGAGATGCTGCTGCAGGAGTTGCCTTGAAGGGATCATCTCCCCACCTTCCTTCTGCAAGAAGCACCAGCTCAGCTCTGTGCCTTCAGTGTGTTCAGGGTGTGCCCAGCACAGAGCATTGCCTGCTTTATTGGACATTAAACCAGTTTGGGTTTTCCACTCCCTGCTGCAGGTAGGAAGGGCTGGTTTAGAAGCACCTTCTCCTTGTCCTGGGAACATCTCATCCCGTCTCATCTCCCAAACACATTTGACTCACTAATAGCATCAAGCACAGCCTGGAGCAGTTTCCCTGGAAATTGCAGCCTTGCACAGCCACATGCTGAAGAGGATCAAGGTCCTTGTTTATTTATTAGCTGTGTAATCAAACACCTCCTGAACCGAGCTGGCAGGGCCAGGTACTGTATAAAAAGGAAACAAAAGGTGGTTGTGGCCCCAAAGTGCAGCTAATTCAGTGTAAACAGCAGATGGAGATGGGCTGAGCCTGTGCTGGGTCTCCTGGGCAAGGAGTCCCTGCAGGTGGAGGATGAGGAGGGTCTGGGGGTGGCTGAAGGGACCTTTCTGTGCTGGGGAAAGGAGCTGGAAATGCTGGGGAAATCAGGGCTGGGAAGACACTAACTGCTTCTGGTGCTTTGCCACTGCCTGGAATTGGATATTCCAAGGGTTTTCAGCAGAGATCTGAAGCAGTTTGGAAGTTTGGGGAGGTGTGGTGTGCCTCAGTTTGCCCAGGGGTAAAGGAGTCG